TGTGAAGGATTATACATCAATTGGTATTGTTTTATTGTTACACGTAGCTTATAAATACATGTGACGTATCACTTTCATTTATATCAACATTTAGGGGTACAATCCTTTAACAATTCCCAATAAATGTTATTGGTGATCGCTGTCAAACCGTCTTCCACAAATTCTATTCGATAAGTATTATTTCATTCATTTTAACAAGAAATATCAGTCTCTTTTCAAAGTGCTTTGCGTTATATGAAAGATTTTAGAGCTTCACGATAAACGCATAATTAATCACTCTTTTTTTGAAAACAGAATTGTCGTTTTTGTAAAATTCAATGCGTAACTTTTGTTCTGGAACAACCGCAGCCCATTTTTAGCAAATATAAGTTTTATGGTTTAAGTAAATAATTCCCTTATTGCCCAGCTATAAATGCGTGACTGTTTTCGTTTTCGGTGCTAAAATATTTAAAAATGCATTTTTCGAAGAAATTTTTCTTTAAGCATATTTGGAGAGTGCAAGCAATATGATGTTGTATAAGCAACCATTAAATGCATTGGTAAATTTGAATATTTTTAGAATTGGCAGGAAATTGCAGAGCTGTTGGAAGTATGTACTCCCTCTACTTTTTCGTCTTTTTCTTTCTCCAATCAAATAGCCAAATTAAAGTAAGTTCATGAAAGATTTTCCGAACATTTCAAACTTTCAGCATTGGATGAGACGGATAATTTCATGTAATTTCAGAAAGCTCAAACGGAACAACACGCAGTTGACGGATTTGTTGGTGCCAGAAGTGAGTGAGAAAGGATTGGAAGCACACAACTTTGGTTGCATGTGATTCAGTTGCAAACTTACAACAGTGAAAGGTTCTTTTGCAATTGAATCACATGCAGCCAAATTTATATCATTTTGACTGCAATTTTGCAATTTTCGTTTAGCATTCACTCAATAGACTGCAATTTTCGTTTAGCATTCACTCATTGGATTAGCTCATTTGATGACCCTCTTTGACCTTTACTTGCTTCTTCAATAAATGAATCGTATGGTTCCAATCTTCCCTCACTCATTTTTGGCACCGATAAATCCATCAATTCCGTTTGCTCCGTTTGTGCCTCCTGAAATTATATGAAATTGTCCTCTCATCCAATGTTTAAAGTTTGAAATGATCGAAATATTAGAGTGATGCATATTTTTCAAAAATCCTTAATTAACTTACTGTGATTTAGATATTTGATTAGAAGAAGAAAAAGACAAAAAAGTAGAGGGAGCACATATTTCCAACAGCTCTGCAAAAATATTTAAATTTACTAATACATTGAATGGTTGACGTCACATCGTCAGCTCTTTCCAAATTTGCTTAAAAAAGAAATTTCTTCGAACAATGCATTTTTTAAATATATTAGCATCGAAGAGAAAATAGTCATTCATTGCTAGTACAATAAGGACATTTTTCATTCAAACAATAAACATAAAAACTCACTTCTGCTAAAGATTGGCCAGGCGGTCCAGGATAAAATTTTAACCAAAATACAGGACTGTGAATTTTACAAAAACGACAATTCTGTTTTCAAAAAAAGAGTGATTAATTATGCGTTTATCGTGAAGCTCTAAAATCTTTCATATAACGCAAAGCACTTTGAAAAGAGACTGATATTTCTTGTTAAAATGAATGAAATAATACTTATCGAATAGAATTTGTG